ATTAATAGCTTAAAAATGACTTTTATGAAATACTGGTTGATTTGAAAATTGTGTCGGCTGGCCTAGTTTCACGATAGACGCTATCACGACCAGGTCGGTTTTAGGATCGTGACAATGAGATTTACATTTGCCAAACTTTTTCGGCTCCAATCAACCAAAGGAATACATCTTAATTGAATCAGATCCTTTTGCATATAACTTTTATTAGTAATGTTGAAAATTCTCAAGATTATAAGCAGTTGGCAGTGATCAATTGGATTTGTTTTCCTTCATGTGTGTCAGACTATTTGTTTCTTTCCACTTTTGTTTAAGTCTTTTTCAGAAATGTGAAGGAAACTCTTCTCAAGCCTCAAGATATAACTCTTTTTTTTGGTTTAACCATCCGATATTCGGAACTCACTAGCCCAATTAATCTGAATCAGTACAACATAGATCCCATTAAAAGGAGAAGTGCTCCCTAAGTTATTCACTGCATATTTGAGCATCTTTTCAGTAAATTTATTTGCTGCCTTAGATATGTGAAGCTAAAAACTAAGTTATTATGGTTCTAACATGATATTGTTGTTAACATTGTTTTAAACTGCCTAACAGCTGCATAAAGAGAGAATCTAATGGCAGAGACGGGAACAAGAATGACGAAGATGATTAAGTTCTTTCCAGATGTAATTGGGAATATTGATGATAGGCTATAATTGTGTATTTTAGTCGCTTATTACACTCTAAGTTACTGTACTTTAATTGAGTTTGAGCTTTAATCGCTAGTGTTTTGCACTAAATATGTGTTTTATGCCTTGTAGGAGTGATTCCGATCTATGTAGGCATTATGGAATGAATTCAAGTGTTTGGAGCTTTGAAGTTTGAGTAAAAGCCCAAGACATTAAGCCGGGATCGTGTTCGGAGGTCGTGTACCAAGTCCGGATGTTAAAAGAGGACGAAATAAGTTCACTCTGAGAAAATTACACTGTCGCGCCGTATGGGACGCCGCAAGGCGCCGCACAACAGTGTAAAATGCTGCCTGATGCGAAAAGTTGAGGCTGCTGATAAACTCCATTAGCGCGCCGCATGACATGGCGTAGGGTGCGGCACGACTGCACAAAATTTATAGAGCCAGAGTCCTATTTCGCGCTGGAGAAGGTGTTTTCATCTTGGCCCAACCCTACTTGGTATAAATACATATAAAAATATTATTTTGAGGATTTTTTTTGAGAGAGCTTAGCCTGGAGAGACGCACTTTGGAGCAAAAATACACACAAGAACATCTCAGATTTCTTTATCTTTTCTAGTATTTTCAATTATTCAAAACTTATGCAATTGTTTGATTACATCATGAGTGGCTAAACACCCATTGTTCTAGGGTTGTGATTTAGCCATGAATATTGTTGTTTAACGTTGACTTGACCTTTATTATAATTCACAAATATATGGTTGTTTCTTCAATTCTGTGTTTAATTGCTTAATTGTCTGGCCAGCAGTTAGGTTCTATTTACTATCTATACTATGCTTGGGAAAGCCATGTTTAGATTAGAGAAGAATTGAAGAGAGCATGATCTTAACCCTTAGGGGGAGCGGATTTGTGGTTAGGATAGGAATATACCTAGTCACCGTGCTTAATTAAATATCGTGATCTTAATGTGTTCTTAATAGATTGATTTCATAGGAATATAGACGTTAATCTATTAAGAATAGGTGAGTAGTACTTCGGGAGAAGGCTATGAGACCATATATTGATTAATTAGCAACCATGAGTGAATTATATGAAAGGGAGAGTTAATTAGAACACAATAGGATTGGTGAATCGATCACAACCCTGGAATAGTTGTCTCTATTGAATACATAACAATCATTCTACTGCTTGATAATTTAGTTATTACTTAGAATTGTAGTTTGCATAATTGAACTCTTGAACTCGAACTTAGCTTGATGGAATAACAATATTGGTGTGTTAGTGAGTAGTTGATATAAGTCTCTTTGGGTTCAACACTCGACTTATCATTTTATTACTTGTACGACCACGTATACTTGCGTGTGCGTTTGGGAGCAACAAGTTTTTGGCGTCGTTGACGGGGACTTGAATATTAGTTACTTGTTAGTATTTGCTTTAATTGTTTATTTAGTCGAGCCTAACATTAATTGATTGTTGCTCGGATCTCAGGAACGTTGATTGAATGCGTAGGGTCAGAAGCCAAGACTGACTTCAAGGCTTTGATCCTGAACCTGAGAGAACATTTCATAGGAGGTTGAGGGAAGCAAGGGACACGAATAATATTTAGGCACTTGTTCAATTTCCTGTGGACATGGCAGAGAAGCAACCCATGGCTGTTTAGGAGGTGGCGATTCCCAGCATTGCAAATGTCACCTCCAGTATAGTGAAGCCCAGGATCACTGGGCACTTTGAGCTGAAACAGAGCATGATCCAGCTACTTCATGCAAATGGGCAGTTTATGGGTCTTCCACACGAGGATCCACAACAACATATTCTGAACTTCTTGGAGATTAGTGATACTTATATCACTAACGGGGTCACTCCAGATTATGTGAGGCTCACACTTTTTCCATTCTCTCTGTTAGGTGAGGCTAAGCGATGGCTAAAGGCAGAACCAGCTAATTCCATCACAACATGGAATGATTTGGCGAGAAAATTTCTGGCAAGGTTCTTCCCTTCAAGAAAAACTGCAAAAATCAGAAGTGAGTTAGTTGCCTTCAAACAGAATGCGGGAGAATCTTTATACTCAGCTTTGGAAAGGTTCAAGGGGATACTCAAAGATTGTCCTCATCACAATCAGACGAATGAAGTGTTAGCTCACACTTTCATAGAAGGGCTACATTCTGAATCAAAGATCGTGGTAGATGTTGTAGCTAGGGGTCAAGTGTTGGAGAAAAGCTTTGACGAGATATATGCACTATTGAACAAATTCTCCAAGAGCAATCCAAATTGGCAAGGAGAGATGGGCAGACACACAATGCAAAAGTCTGTAGGGGTTCTTGAGTTAGATGTCGTCTCAGCATTATCAATGCAGTTTTCTACGCTGACCAATCAAGTCAATCAGATGAACTTGATATCAGCAAGCAACAAGTACAACCGGTACAACAGGTTCAAGCTTTTTGTGAAATATGTGGAGAGGGGCACACGAGCGACATATGCCCCGCAAACCCAGAGTTTGTCTGCTTTATGGGTAATTCAAATAGGGGCCAAACAAACCAATATGGGAATACTTACAATCCCAACTGGAGGAACCACCCAAACTTCTCTTGGGGTGGAAACCAGGGTACTCAGAATCAATACAGGCCTCAAACACCTCAACAACAATATAGACTACCTCAGGTTGAACAACAAGCAAGTCCTACAAGTCACCTTGAAGACATGTTGAAAAAAGTGATGGCTGAACAACAAGCCCTCTCTCAAAAAGTGATGGCTGAATAGCAAGCCCTCGACACAACAATGAGAAATTTGGAGCGTCAAATAGGATAGCTTGCTAGTGCTCAAAACACTAGACCAGCTGGAGCTCTTCCAAGTGACACTGAAGCAAATCCTAGGGTGGCCCTTAATGTCGTGTCGTTGAGGAATGAGAGACAACTAGAAGAAGTTCAGTCTAAAAAAAGGAAAAGGTGACTTTTAATGAGAGGACAACCACTATTGAATCAACATCAGAAAAAGCTAAGGAGCCAGTGAAGCCAGCTGGAGAGGCGGTGGCTAAGCAACCCCCACTATTGGTTGCAAGGCCACCACCTCCATTCCCTAAAAGATTGCAGAAATTAAGAGATAATGCTGCTTATAAAAAGTATTTGATATCTTGAAGCAGGTGCACATTAATATTCCATTGGTTGACATCTTACAAGAAGTACCCAAATATGCAAAGTACATCAAGGACATTGTGGCAAATAAAAGGAGGCTAACCGAGTTTGAGACTGTGGCACTCACTGAGGAGTGCAGTTCAAGAATTCAGGGCAAGTTACCTCAAATATTGAAGGATCCAGGTAGTTTCACTATCCAAATCTCGATTGGTAAACATGATGTTGGGCGAGCTTTATGTGATCTTGGAGCGAGCATCAACTTGATGCCGCTATCTGTGTTCAGACAGTTGGGGTTGGGTGAGCCACGCCCAACAACAGTTATCTTATAGTTTGCTGATCGTTCCCTTGCTCATCCTGAAGGAGTGATTGAAGATGTGCTAGTTCAAGTGGGTTCTTTCATATTCCCTGCTGATTTCATTATCTTGGACTACGAGCCCGATCAGGAAGTCCCATTTATTTTGGGGCATCCATTCTTAGCCACGGGCTAAGCTATTATTGATGTTTGCAAAGGAAAGATGACAATGAGAGTGGGTGATCGAGTGGAGGTCTTCAATGTTTATAGAGCACTCAAGTTACAAGCCCACTATGAAGAGTTATCCATGATCTCTGTGGTGGAGAGTGATGCCACATCGTTAGTGCCCTATATGAGCCCTGTAGATCCTGTTGAACACATATTGATTAGGGATGTAGAAAATAGTGAAGATGAAATGATGGGAGAAATTGAGCAAGTACTGGATATGTCCTGCAGTTATGTCCAAGGGCTTAAAAATTTTGAAGAGTTGGACAGGCCTATCACTCTGACCCTGCCCAGGCCATCTATTGAAGAAGCTCCGAAGCTAGAACTTAAGCCACTTTCAGTGCATCTGTGCTATGCTTATTTGGGGAACTCTGAGATATTGCCCGTAATTATTTCGTCCAGCTTGACCAACACTCAAGAAGAAAAATTGCTCAGAGTACTCCGTGAGCATAAAAAGGCCATTGGGTGGACTATAACTGACATCAAGGGTATTAGTCCATCATTTTGCATGCATAAAATCTTTTTAGAGGACGGACACTGCCCCAGTGTGGAGCAACAAAGAAGATTAAACCCCATTATGAAAGAGGTGGTAAAAAAGGAAGTAATCAAGTTGCATGATGCAGGTATCATTTTTCCTATTTCTGACCGCAACTAGGTAAGCCCAGTTCAATGTGTGCCCAAAAAGGGAGGAATGACTGTAGTTGAGAACGAGAAGAATGAGCTAATCCCTACTCGCACTATTACGGGATGGAGAGTCTACATTGATTATAGAAGGCTCAACAAAGCAACTCGCAAGGACCACTTCCCACTTCCATTCATCGACCAAATGCTAGACAGGTTAGCCGGGCATGAATATTATTGCTTCCTTGATGGTTATTCGGGATACAATCAGATTTTCATATTCCCAAAGGATAAGGAGAAGACCACTTTTACTTGTCCTTATGGAACTTTTGCCTTCAAGCGAATGTCGTTTAGTCTTTGTAATGCACCAGCCACTTTCCAGAGGTGCATGATGGCTATTTTCACCGACATGGTGG